GATGCAGCGCCTGATAGAGTCGCATGGCTCTGTGGAGAAGCTTCCCTCGACGATCCTCGGGTTGACACCGATGCTGGCCCACGGCATGGATTGGCGCGATTTCATTGGCCAGGTCACCGCCGCTGGCTTAGCACAGCAGGACGGCCGTCAGCTCCACTGGAACGCCACCGCCGTCAACCAGTGGTATGATGCCCGTCTCGTCGACTCGGATTATGAAGACGACTTTGAAGAAGAAGAAGAACAAGACAGTGAAGAAGACCAAGAGGAAGAGGAGGCGGCGGCGGTGCTGGACGGCCAGGGTCAGGGGCAGCAGCAGCAGCACCAGGGACAGCAAGCCCAAGCACAGCAAGAAACAGTCCCCGCGCCGCTGCCGCCATCGACAACATCCGGCACCAACGGCGGCGGTGCAAGCCATGTCCAGAAGCTGTTCAACTTCTCGGATACGGCCAGCACGCAGATCGGGCCAGGCGAAGAGACCAGCCCTCGCACGGCCCCTCTCAACGCGGCGGCAGTCCAAGCAACATCGTCGTCGTCGACCAACCCATACGGCCCGCCTCCAGGCACCGTTCCTGCGGACAGTCGCCCTTCGCGGCCCTTTCCGTTTCAGACGACACCACCTCCCACCCCGCAGTACGTTACTGGCCCGCCCACTCCAAACAGCCTGCGCGCCATGAAGTCTGGCGCCGTGGCCCCGCCTGCGCGGCCCCCATCCCACGACGCACCGAGGACGCAAGCGCAACAACAGCTACAGCAGCAGCAGCAGCAGCAAGCTTCCGCAGTTTTGCCAACTGCAGACGATGAGGAAGTGGTTGCTGCAATCAAGCAACATCTTGTGGAAGTTGGAGGCGAGGCCGTCGCCTGTTCCCTGCCCATCCATCTGCACCACGTTGTGCCACACGCGAGTGACACGATCAAGCGCCACGGCAGGTTCCGCAACTTTGTCGATGCATTCCACCACAAGGGCATCGCGTTTGTCGAAAACTCGAGTGGTGGGAACGTGCGGCTGACACATGGCCTCGCTCACCGGTCGCTGTCCCAGAAGAGGACGAAAGCCGGCCAGCCGCCTGCAGCCGAACAAGGCCAGCAGCAGAGTTTTCAACAACAAGTTCAAGAGCAATTCAAGCAAGGACAACAACAACAGCAACAACAGCCGCCTCCTCAGCAGCCACCACGGCAGGAGCAGGCAACACAGCCAAAGCCACAGCAGCAGCAACAGCAGCAGCAACAACAGCAGCAGCAGCAACAACAGCACCAGCAACAACAGCACCAGCAACAACAACACCAGCTACAACAGCACCAGCAACAACAGCACCAGCAGCAGGTAGCGATGGACCCGCGTCTGGCACAGCGCGTGCCTCCGAGCGGTGCGCCTTCTGTGGAAGAGGTTGCTCGCGCCATCAGGAAGTACCTGCAGGCTGCTGGCGGTGCGGCCTGTGCCAGCGCCGTTCCCCTCCATCTGCAGCACGAGATGCCATCGGCGATTGACACCATCGGCGCCTTTGGGCGCTTCCGCGCGTTTGTTGACATGTGCGACAGTAAGGGCCTGGGATTTGAGTTCATCCACGACAACATGAATGGTCGCGTGCAGCTCACCAGCCGTTCCAACGCAACAGCACCAGCAGCACCACCAAAACCAACACCAGCACCGAAACCAAAACCAGCACCAACAGCAGCCCCAACTGCACCCACAGCAACAGCGCCACCGCGGCGCCACTCCATCAACACCCCGTCAACGAGTGATGTTGCTCGCGTCATCAGGCACTACCTGCGGGACAAAGGCGGCTCTGTCATTGCCAGCTCCATCCCAATCTATCTGAGGGACGCGATGCCTGACGCTGACACAACCATGAAGAAATACGGCAGGTTTCGCAGCTTCGTTGAGGAGTGTGCTCAGAGAGACCTGGGGTTTAAGTATGTCCCCGACAACGCGAGTGGCCTTGTCTGCCTGACCGAGCGTGAGCATGATTCGCGTTCGCAGCCCCACTCCAGCATCACCCCCCCGTCAGCGAGTGAAGTTGCTCGCGTCATCCGCCGTTTCCTGCACGGCCAACATGGCTCCATCATTGCCAGCTCCATCCCACCGTACCTCAAGCACGCAATGCCTGGGGCTGAGGCAACCATCAAGAAATACGGCAAGTTCCGCAGCTTCGTTGAAGAGTGTGCGAAAAGAAGGTTGGGGTTTGAGTACGTCCCCGACAACGCGAGTGGGTTTGTGCGCCTGACCAACAGCAGCAGCAGCAGCAGCAGCAGCAGCAGCCGTGGCAACGCGAGCGTGCGTACTGCCAACACTGCAGCCATTCCTGCATCAGCAACGGCGGTGCACCATCCGTTGGCTGCACGTGCCCCGACGACTGCTGCTAACACAACCAGCAGCAACGCAGCGCAGCCAGCAGGCGTGGCGCCCGCTCCACCGGCTCCTCCTGCTGCCCTGCAGGCGTCGTCAGCCCACGCACATGTCCAACACCACCAGCACCAGCAGCAGCAGCAAGAACAGCAGCAAGAACAGCAGCAGCAGCAGCACGAACAGCAGCAGCAGCAAGAGCAGCAGCAACCTTCTTCTTCTTCGGCCCCATCAACCGCGGGTGCCACGAGTGCGACTGCTACTGCTCCCACTGAGGCCAGTGCAACGAGCCAGGGCGCGCGCTTTGATGTTGATGCTGCTGCGTTTGCCGATCACGTGGCAACGCGCTTGCCACTCTCGACGCGGCTCGTAGAGTACGTGAACCGCCACGCTTCCGAGGTGGCAGGCGTCGACCTGCATGTTGACGGCCGGGCCATTGTCTGGCAGCGCGGCCCGCATGACGAGAAGCCGCGGCCCGAGGTTTTTGTGGACGCCCACACGTGCCACGAGGTCGTCGAGTGGCCCGAGACGAACCACCTCGGCTGCCTCGCCATCGACAACGCGTTGCACAAGGTGTGCGTGCTGCGTGACAGCATGGACCACCTGTCGTGCGTCACCATTCGCCTCGTGCACCCGATGCTGCCACTGCCGCACTTCCCCTTCCTTGCCAAGAAGGCGGCCACTGGTGGCTTCTTTGCCTTCCGCGGCACCGACCGCGCCGTGTGCAATGCCTTCCTTCGCACCGCCGCCAAGCACCTGTGCATGTCCAACCACGTCGTTGTGCTTGATCCGTACGGCGAGATTGCCGGCCAGGGCCAGCGCTGCGAGGCCCTCATTGGCGGCGCTGTGCGCATGCCGCTGTTCCCCGATGACGACAGTGCGCGCGCTGTGGAGCGAGCCACCGTCGTGCTGGACGCAGACATTGTCATCTTGTGTATCACGCCAGCGCACAAGCACGCCCACTTGGCAAACATTGCCGAGCAGCTCCCTGTCTCCCTCATCACCGCCATGATCACAAAGTGATGGGTGTATGTGTGTGTGTGCGTGTGTGTGTATGTGTGTGCGCGCGCGCTTGTTTGTGAGAGAGTGAGCGTGTGCGCGTGTATGTCGTGTGTGTGAGTGTTTGCGCGCGTGTATGTGTGAGTCAGTGCGTGAGTGTGAGCGCGTGTTTGTGTACAGTTTCATTGTTGAACGACTGATGTATGTGTTGAGTATGATGCGTTCATCACATCATGTCACCCCTCGCTCTTTGCCCCCTTGCTTGCGATTGTGCGTCTGCGTTGCCAATTGGCTGGTTGGGTTCATTTGAAGATGAACAGAGTACCCCGTTGTCACAATCTGCATCGAGAAGCGAAGCTGCCTTTGCACACACATATGGACACACACACACACACACACACACACACACACACACACACACACACACACACACACACACACACACACACACACACACACACATGCAGCTGCTACGCTGTTTGCGGTGAGGTGTGGCTGGTGCCGTTGTCTTCCTGCTCGTCAAAGAGTTTGGCGATGAATGTGTTGCTGAGGACACCACGTGGGTCGAGCCGTCGCCTGAAGTGATTGAACCGGTCAACGGGGAAGCGCTCTCGCATGCGTGCTCTCAACTCACGCAGCTCAGCGGGATCTGTTGGGACTTCAAGCTTGGCCCAGTGTACATACGCGTCATACTTGGCATCAAGGTTGTCGGCGACCAATTGCCTGTACTTGAAGAACGCTTGCGTAATGGCCTCGCGCTCGCGCGTGTCTGCCGTACACAAGTACATGATGATGCCCGCCCATGCGTGGATGCCGTCCTCGTGTGCCGGTACGCGGCCTGGCCCAGGGCCACCGACACTCATGGCGGAGGTGGAGGTGCGCGTCCACCGCTGCTCGATAGGCGCCGGTGCAGGCACGTGGTTGTCCTCAATCAGGGCGAGCAGGTCTGCCATGAACGCCATATCGGCCATGTCGGGCGCTTGCAACGTGCCTGCAGGGAAGCACACCTCGTTCACCCACTGCTGCCCTCCGCACTCAAATCCAAGCACCTGTGAGTGTGCACAATGTGAGTGAGTGCGCTCAATGTGGGTGAGTGCGCTCAATGTGAGTGAGTGAGTGTGCGCAATGTGTGCGAGGGTGTGTGCGCAATGTGTGCGAGGGTGTGGTACGCTCACCTCGTCGCTGTAGCCGACGCTGGTGATGCCCTGGTTTCGGCGCCAGAACTCGGCTTCGGCAGCGTTGCACTTCTTCACGTGCTCAACATCTGCACGTGGCAGAGGTGTTGGATGGGTGTGTGTGTGTGTGTGAGGTTAGCAGGCATGCAAACGGAAGACCACACATACACACAGAGGCAGACAGACACAGACACAGAAGCAGACAGAGAGACAGAGAGACAGAGAGACAGAGAGACAGAGGCAGACACACACACACAGACACACAGACACACACGCACGCACACACACAAACACACAAACACACACAGACACACAGACACACAGACACACACGCACGCACACACACACACAGACACACACACGCACGCACACACGCACACACGCACGCACACACACACACACACAGACACACAGACACACACACACACACACACACACAGACACAGACACACAGTCGGTACCTCGAGGGTTGGCGGCCAGGATGGCGTCGCGAAGGTCCGCAAAGTGCATCGTGCGCATGCGGTCTTGGGAGATGCTCGGGTTGACCTGTTGCAGCAGCGATCGCAGTGGCGCCAGCGCATATGCCTCGTGCTCGCTCGCCTGCTTCTCCTCGGCCTCTGCTTCGTCCTGTGCCCGCGCGGCATGTGTGGTGTTGTTGCACTCCACAACAACCACGGCGTCCTCGTACGGGATCCACATGTATCGGACGTGCTTGTTGCGCCGCAGCCGCTCCTTGTGGCCGCGGCGGGCCTCCTCGCGCGTGATGACGCTAGTTCGCTCCGTCAGGAGGTGGTGATCAACGCACTGCAGCGTGACGGTGCCCATGATGCCCAGCGCACCGAGTCCAACGCGTGCGAGGTCAAACAGCTCCGGGTGTGACTCGCGTGTGACGCTCAAGGTGCCCTGGGCGGGCGTGATGAGGCTGAAGCCAACAACCTGGTCGTCCGCGGGCGGGATGGCTGCGCCGGTGCCGTGCGCGCCGGCTTGCACGAAGCCGCCAATCTGCTGCTCTCGGATGGACGCGTAGTTCTGCAGCGTGAGCCCATATGGCCGGAGCTTCTCCACGACGTCTGCCACGCGTGCGCCGGCCTCCACGCACACCTGCTTCGAGTCCGGGTCCACCCACAGCACGCGGTTGCAGTTGACCATGCTCAGCATGCCCTCGTCACTGAATGCCAGGCCGTTTGGCGAGATGGCCGAGCCCACAACGCGCAGCCGCTGGCCCGTCGCGTGTGCTCTCGCAAGCGCGTCCTCCACCTCACCCAGGCTGTTCGGCTCCACGAACACGCGAGGCCACGCCGTGTGCGTCCCAGACCAGTTGACCACCTCGTGACTGTCGTGGTCATGATTGCCGTCGTCATCATCCCTGCCTGCTTCTGCGTGCGCCAGGCGACATCCACGCATCCAGCCGTGTGTGATGGTGGTGGTGCCACCTCTTCCCTCTTCCCCTTTGCTGGCTGGTTCCCATGCGCTCCATGGGTGCAGCAGCGCTGCTCCCGATGCTGCTCCCGCCACAGCTGCCCACCGCATGAACACCCTCCCCACCACCATTGTCCTCTGACTTTAGTCTTCTTGGCTTCTTGCGTTGTTGTCTTGCTTCTTTTGGCTGTAACATGCACTTCTTTGCTTGGTGTCCGTGGTGGTCATTTCATGCCGCCTGTGGATGTGTGCTGTGTGTGCATGTGATGCGTGGATGTGTGCTGTGTGTGCATGTGATGCGTGGATGTGTGTGGTGTGTGTCGAGCTACACTACTTTGTAAACGCCCATCTCTCGTTCTCGTTGGAGGTGCTGCCACACGGGAACGCCCTCAGCTGCGGCTTCTTGCTGCTGGTCAGACACAAGCCCGTCTCCCGATGTCGAATCTGCTTGCTCTCCGTGTACGTCCACCTGTCGATGCAGGAGGTTGTGTGTGTTAGTGTGTGTGTGTGTTAGTGTGTGTGTGTGTGTGTGTGTGTGTGTGTGTGTGTGTGTGTGTGTGTGTGTGTGTGTGTGTGTGTGTGTGTGTGTGTGTGTGTGTGTGTGTGTGTGTGTTAGTGTGTGTGAGGCCTGTTGTGAGTGTGCTCTGTGGGACACGCGGCAACCATATCACGGAGGCAGTGTCTTCGCTCCTCCAGCAGTGCCACGTACAGCATTGGTGGGTCGGTAGTGCACGTGTGCAACACTGCATGCTACAAAGCGAGAAATGGCATGGTGAATTCAAGTGAGTGGCGTACACAACCAAGTGTCCGAAGTCATACAACTGTACACGACAGATGCACAGTAGATAGACAGAGACATCAACACCGAAACTCCTATGCAGGCACATGCACACAACCCCCCTACACACACACACACACACACACACACACACACCTACACATACACACACACACACACGCACAGAGCCATATGCTTACGTTATCCTTGTCGAGGGCAACGCAGAAGTTGGTGCCGTGTCCATCTTGCAGCTTGATGGTCCCGTCATTACGGAAGATCCACTCCTGCTTGTCGCTGTCCTGCGGCAAGCAGTGCTGTACCGCAAGCTTTGCATTCAGCTTAAAGGGCGGCGGGCACACATGCGCAACACAAGGGGTGGGGGTGGGTGGGGCGGGAAGTTGATGAGTTCATGAGATGAGGAGCATGAAAGGAGAGAAAAGACATACATACATACATACATACATACATACATACATACATACATACATACATACATACATACATACATACATACATACATACATACATACATACAGACACACACATTAAACGCACAGTGCCTGCTCCAGCATCGATGCATTGCATGCCCTGCTTGATTTGCCCAAAGCCAACCATGTCACGCCCGGGAACGCTGCGGTGCGCAGGAAGCAAACCGGGATGTCAGATTCAACGTGAGCCAGCACAGCACAGCACACACGCACTTGAGCCCATCCCACAACATAAATGTGCACAAACAACAACACAAGCGCACACAATGCGCATGATACACACCTGAGTTCTGGGTACACATTCTCGAGGTACCAGCCAAAGGACTTGCAGTTGAGGCGCTTGCGAAGTTCCGTCCGCTCTTCCAGCGGGCCAACGGCGCTGTGTGTGTGTGTGTGCGTGTGTGTGCGTGTACGTGTGTGTGTGTGCGTGTGTGTGCGTGCGTGTGTGTACGTGTGTGTGCGTGTGTGTATATGTGTGTGTGTATATGTGTGTATGGATGAATGATTGTAGACAAGTGCATGCCAGCAATCAGACGCGCGTGTGCAAGTGAGCGTGTTTGTGTGTGACCATGTGAGAAGGCCGAACATGGCATGGTGAGCACATGAGAACAGCAACCCAACAATTGAAATGTGGTGAGTACGCGTGCGCGAGGGTGACTCACGCGAACTTGGCAGACGGCCGTGCGTGGTAAAAGTGCTGCTTGTACTCATCCATCCACACCTCCGCGGTCCTCGCAGTGTTCCTGATCACCCGCGCGCGCGCGCGCACACACACACACACATGGAAAGCAAAGCAAATGTGTTGAGCGCTGACACACACACACACACACACACACACACACACACACACATGCCCCTCGAGCGTACTTGTCGTATGTGCGGCCGTTACCGCCGGGAAAGGAGTACGGGTGCTGCTTGCGGAAGACGTGTCCAACACGCGAGCAGGGCACAATGTCCATGCGTCCGCCACACATCCACGTGCGGAACGAAATCTCAAAGTTCTCCCCGCCCCACACGTCCATGTCGAGGTCATACTGGCCAGACTCGTCAAACCACCGCTTCGTGATGCTGAACAGGCCCCCAGCGATCATGGGGGTGCTGACGCCATTGACAGCAGAGGGAATTGAAGGGGAAAGGGGAGGATGTGGCGTGGGTGAGTGTCAGGTGACAGACTGGAGTTGGCTCGAGGCAGACAGTATGAGCAGGAACGCCGCAACAGCTGTGTGTGCGCGTGTGTGTACACGTGTATGTGAATGTGTGTGTGTGTGTGTGTGTGTGTGTGTGTGTGTGTGTGTGTGTGTGTGTGTGTGTGTGTGTGTGTGTGTGTGTGTGTGTGTGTGTGTGTGTGTGTGTTATCGTACGGGATTGGATCGATGGCGCTCTTCCCCTTGAGTGGCGCCGTCTCCCACTGGAACTGCATGCTCCACGTGAAGCCTGGCAATCACGGAGGGGTGGTGTGCGTTGATGTGACAATGGCATTCATGGCAGTGGTGTTGGCACAACTCCACCCTTTGCACTTTCACAACTGCCATCATGAAAACGACCAGTCATCATCATCATCATCATCATCATCATCATCATCATCATCATCATCATCATCATCATGATAGCCGCACCTCCGCGCAGGCCGGATGTGGAGCCGAGGTACCGGAAGTTGTCCATGTTGATGACGTCGATGGTCGGACTCGCAACCGCCCGGTAGTTCTGGCTCACAGCAGCAGTGGGCAGTGAACAGGCAGCAGTCAGTCGGGGCGTGGGGAACCGGATTGTGTTCAACAGACAGAAGGGCAGAGAAAGAGGCATACAGACACAGACACACACACACACACATTCACAAACACGTGTGTGTTCACCTTGTGCAGCTGCTCCAGCAGTGGGGGAAGCCAGTCGGTGTTGCACTCGATGTGGGAGTCGAGGAACGTGAGCACGGGGCTCTGTGCAGCATTGGCGCCACGCACGCGCGAGCGAATCAGACCTGCAGCAACAGTTGTGGCGGTGGCGGTTGGCGTGTTGTTGTGCAGCATGTGTCACACAAAGAAGGGGGTCTGGCGTGTTCAAACCGGAAGGGTACACACAGACACACGCGCACACGAAACATGTAGAGTGCGCATGTACATCTGTGGAAGCAAACACACACATGCTGTTGGTGCGTCGTACCTTCACGCTCGTGGTTTCGCAGAATGCGCACCTTCTCCATCCCCTCCACAATCTTGCCTTGCTCCGCTGTTGTACACAAAACACACAACAATACCACGAGTGGGTGCTCGGTGAACTTGGAGCGTGACAGCGACACACACACACACACACACACACACACACACACACACGCACACACACACACACGCACACACACACACACACGCACACACACACACACACACTCTCTCTCTCACACACACACCCACGTGCGCGCGCCTTCAGAGTGGAGAGCACATAGTCGCACTGAAAACGCATACACCACGCATGTGCACATCGCAAAGCATATCACGACTGCCTGCAGGCACTCACGATCATCTGATGCGTCATCGATGAGGATGACCTCGTCAATCAGCTCCGGGGGCGATCGATCCAACACGCTGTGCGCATGCGCGAGACGTGACAATTGCATCATGTGAGCAGAAGCACACGTGACTGCCGAGGACACACAAACAGACACATCCACACCCACACGTGTTTGATACAAATGGTCGCCTACGCCCGTGAGTGTGTGTGTGTGTGTGTGTGTGTGTGTGTGTGTGTGTGTGTGTGTGTGGTACCGACCTGCGCACGGAGCGGTAGAGGGTGGAGCGCGCCTCGTTGTGGAAGGTGAAGATGATCGTTGTGGAGGGCAAGTCGGGCGGGTAGTCCTCAGGATACTTGCGTTTGCGGCACCTGTGCTCGCAGGCAACGCGCAATGAGGAGAAGCAGCCGCACCAACGCATCGGTATCGTCCGCATGTGTGGATGAGTACGGTGTGTGTGTATTTGCGTGTGCGAGTGCCAGTGCCAGTGTGAGTGTTCGGTATGTTTGTGTATGTGTGTGAGTGTGTGTATGTGTATGTGCGAGTGGTCTCAACAGTGCACAACAACGTACAGAAGTACATGGCCGTGAACACTATAGCGTGCACAAGTACATGGCTGCAGGCCACTGACATGGGGTTGCGTGTGTCGGGCACTTTTCGGTCGGAGGGCAACTTGTTGCTGGCGTGAACGTTGAAGTTGTTCTTCGCGTAAGGATCGCTCGACCTGACACACCCAGCACCATCATCAGCACAAACACCAGCGCCAACAAGATGTCATGAGTGCACGGAGATGACATGCGTGATGAACACGAAGGAGCAAGTCTCCGGCGCGTTCTGAACAGCAGCGAGACAAGCTGACGCAAATGAAAACAACCGTTCACGTGCAAGTCACATGTGTCGGTCACCACTGACTTTCGGGAGCCCACTTCCTCCACGAATTTGATACGCGGGACGGACGGTTGGCTCGGCCGTGGCAGCGGCACCCACTCTGCACGCGGATCCACCACCTTGAAGTTGTGCTTCACATCAAAGTTGTCCACAATCTGCAGAGTGCATTGTGTGTGTGTGTGTGTATGTGTGTGTGACATGCACGTCGGAACAGTGCAACGCCATCGACGCTCGAGAACACGGCCATGGATGTGTGTGTGTGTGCGCTGACGAGCAGAGCATGCCTGGCACACCTTGGCATCAGGCGGTGGTGTTGGGTGCTCAATGTTCTGCAGGAGGTGGAAGCAAGCGCGCGAGCGTGTGAGCCCTTATTAGTGCATGTGGGATCAAGGTGTGCGATTGAACAATGACAAACAGAGTTGGGGTTTGAGATGCGCGCATGACCGGCTGTGGTAACCTCAAAGTCGTGCTGTTCTTCCTCCTCATTTTCTCCATAGCTGTCGCGCAATGCGTTGAGCTGCGCATCCCGGACTGTGTTCCGCAAGTGCGTGCACGTCAGTGTGTGGGTGAGATTGAATGTGTGGAGTGGGTGTGTGTGAGCCGATGTGTGTATGAGTGCGTGCACAAGTGCCTCCTTGAAGTCGCTGTGGACAGCTCCGCAAGCAAGCAAGCCAGTGCATGTCCAGCAATGCACCCGTCACTCACATTCCTCCTGTGCAACTTGATCGTTGAGCAGCAAATCATCATCCCCTTCCAGCTGCACCCGACGCTTCAGCTCCTCCAGATCTGACAAGTCCTGCCATGCCATGAAGAGAAAGAGAGAGAGAGAGCGCCACCGCAATGTGTGTCTCAATGTGTGAGGGTGTGTGCTTGCAAGCTTGCGTGGCCACATCCACGGATCAGTGGCTGCTACCTGCCAGAATCAGTGGGCAGCTGTTCAAACCCAAAGGAATCAAACGACTCAAAACGACTGAAAGAACGCAAAGGTGAGGGAGCACAAATGCGACAAGCACAACTCACAAAGGGACTCAGACTCAACAAGAACAAACGCGCGTGCGGATGTACAGCGTACCTGGTCAGAAAGGTGGGACTCTGGCGAGGTGTGGTGCGTTAGGTACAGCAGTGCAAGGCACCATGCCATCAAGAAGGCAATCAACAGCGCCCGCGACCGCCGCGTCAACATTGTCGGCGTCGTCTGCGGGCAGTTGGTCGTCGTTGTTGTCCTTCTCCTCCCTTTCCTTCTTCCGTTTCTGACAACAACGTCAAATTTGCCTTTGGCCACCAAGCAGCAGAACGCAATTTTGCCTTTCCAAATTTTCAGTTTCGAAGAGAGCAGAAGAGGAAGCAGGAAGGACACCAACCCACCAACGAGCAGCATGGACGACATCGATGCGTTGCTGGACTCGCTCGCTGACAACAGCGACAAGAGCAAGATGAAGCGTGCGTTCCATGTCATGTTCGTGTGTTCGTGTGTGTGTGTGTGTGTGTGTGTGTGTGTGTGTGTGTGTGTGTGTGTGTGTGTGTGTGTGTGTGTGTGTGTGTGTGTGTGTGTTGCATGCTCTGTAGTCTGTGCTCTATACACTGTTCGCTGTTTGCGCTGTGCTCTGTGTGCTCTGTACACTGTTCGCTCTGCGCTGCGCTCTGTGTTCTGTTCGCTGTTTGCGCTGTGTTCTGTACACTGTTCGCTGTTTGCGCTGTGCTCTGTGTACCCTGTGCTTTGTGCTCCTCGCCCTTCCCTTATGCATGCCCCACTCATGTGTCATTCCTGGTGTACTTGCTGCAGCAGCAAGCGGAGGATCATCAAGGCCATCTCGACGGGGCATGTCTGCGACGAGGACGAGGACGACGACGACGGCCGGTGCTGGGCGTGCTGCTGGCACAGCACGTGGGTCTGCCGCGCGCGCAGGCAGTGGTGCACGTGGCAAGAAGTCTGCGGGAACGCCCAAAGACCAAGATTTTTATGCCAGCATGCGCCAAGAGGTCGACGACGATGTAAGTTCAGCACTCATCCTGCTGTGTTTGTTGTGCACATGTCCACGTGTACACGTGTATGTGTGTGCATGTACGTGATCTTGTGTTTGTGTGCATGTACGGATCTTGTTTGTGTGTGCCATGCGTGCATGTGTTAGTGCACGCACACGTGTAATTGCACGTGTACGTTCTTTGGCATGACATTATGGACTCTGCCAGCTCGTGGCTGAACTGAATTTGCTTGCTTGGGGCGATTTTGTTTTGTCTTCTTGGCTGTAACAGTGGGATGACAGTGACGAAGACATCATGTCAAACGTCGATGCCAGCAAGATGGCCGCAGACCTCGGCGTGAGCACAGTCACAAACACAATTCAGCATACACCAACCTGCACATGATTCAACAGCTTGCTCAACAACATCGACGACCACACAACATCAACAACCACACACACACACACACATGCACACACACACACATGCACACACACACACACACACACATGCACACACACACACATACGAGCGAATGTCCTCCTCATCACTATCACCTGCTCCTCTGTCTCGTCCGCTATCCGCATTGACCAGGACCTGGACGATATGGACGACGCGCTCTTTGGCGGGCTTGGCGGCAGTGGTGGTGGAGAAACGAAGACGAAGAAGAAGAAGAAGCCCACGACGGCGACAACAGCAGCCGCATCACGGACAGCGGCAACAGCAACATCAACCGCAGCCAAAGCAAGGCCTGCAGCCGCGACAAAGGCGACAGAAGCGCAGCCCCCAGCTACAAAGCACCAGCAGAGCAAGAAATCAGCAGCCCCGCCTGCCAGCACCAGCACCGCCGCACAGAACGACTCCGACGACTGGGATCTGAGCGGTGCTGACGATCTCCTAGCAGACTTGGGCGATTCAAAGCCAAAGGCGCGCGCACAGGGTGGCGCCCGTACAGCAGCCGCGACAACATCAGCTGCTGGGAAAGGCCAGTCTGTTGGGCGCAGTGACACCGCGTATGTGCCGTCGATGGGTGGTCGTGGCGGCATGAGCGCAATGCTTGAGCCGCGCACAGGGCGCCCAGGCACATCTACGGGACGAAGGGGCGCTGGAACACAGGGAACAACTGCCGCAGCCACCGCAGCAAAGGCAACAGCACCCCCTCGTGCCGGTGCAGTGGCAACGACGAAGCGAAGCAGTAGCACGGCCGGGCGGGCAGCGTCCAACAGGGCGTCTCGCGCAGACAGTGATCTCGACTTTGGCAGCAGCTTTGGTGATGACGACGAAGAGCAGAGCAGTGGCAGCGGCGCTGTTGTTGGTGATGATGATGATGATGATGATGATGATGATTTGCTTGGTTTGCTCGGTGATGACGAGCCAGCGGGAAGGAAGCAGCAGCAGCAACAACAACAACAACAACGACGACCAAGCACGCTGGGCACACAAGGCTCCAGAGCAACGGCTGCAGCAGCAGGCGACGCTGCTCGTGGTCGCGGCGGTGGACGCGGCGGTGACGACGGTGCCCTGCCGTTCCGACCGTCCACAGGCACGGGCAGACGGCGGCAGGGCACGGGCCCCACAGGTAGCAGTGGTGATGATGGCGGCGGCAGCGGCGGTGTGCAGATGCCGTGGGAGGAGCCATCGCGACGCGGTGCTGGTGCTGGCGCTGGGCGAAGGCGGACATCATCGTCGGCATCGTTCGAGTGGGGTGAATCTGCCGGCGAGGAAGAGGCACCGACACATGTGGGCGGTCGCGTGGAGGATGAACGAGGTCACGGGGTCGAAGGGAACGTGTTTGCTGGCGAGGAAGAAGGAGCTCAAGCACACCACCAACAGCAGCAGCAGCAGCAGCAAGGGGGCCGTCCACAGAGCCGCAGCGAGGCAGCAGCAGACCTGAGCTGGCTCTCACAGAGCCGTGGCGCAAGTCGCACGGAGGCACACGCTAAATCCTCATCACCGCAACCACAACAGCCACAGCAACAACAGCAACAACAGCAACAGCCACAGCAACCACAACAGCCACAGCAACAACAGCCACAGCAACAACAACAGCAGCAGCAGTGGCCGCCCACATCTTCCAGCCGTCGTGGTGGCGGTTTCCTCGACTTTCTGCACAGCCGCAGCGGCGCTGCACCACCACAACAGCAGCAGCAGCAACAGCAGCAGCAGCAACGACGCGGTGGTGGTGGTGGTGGGAGTGGGGTTAATGCGACTCAAGCGGCACCAGCAATGAGACAAGCAGGACCATCTGTAATGGGTACAGCGGGCGCAGGGGCGTTGGGTGAACAGCCAGCACCGACAGCGCTGAGCCGTGAGACGACGAACAAGGAGATTTCGCGGCTCGAACAAGAGGTGCAGCGCTTGCAATCGGAACTGAAAACAACGCACCAAGCTTTAGATGGCGCCAGCACCAAGCATGAGAAGCAGGTATCTTTTCGTTTGTGTGTGCGTGTGCGTGCGTACGCGCGTTGGTGTATGGTTGTGTGTTTCTCGCTGATGACGTTTGCTGTCTTTGAGCGGAGGCATCTGTGGTACCAAGCGAGAGTGTGAGTGTGCGCTGTGAATGGACTGTGCCAAAAGCCGTCCTCCCCGAAATTCACATGTGCACGCGTTCATGTGCTCATCGTACAGGCGGTGGAATTGCAGGCCGCAAGGGATGAGTTGACATCAAGCCAAAAGACAATGAATGAATACAAGCAGCAAATCCAACAGGTGACTTGGGCAAGACCAGCCATAGTTGGCAGGATTGCGATGTGCATGTGTGCGTTTCTTTGCGTCATACATTTTGCCAGAATGCGTTCACGATATGCACGCACAATATTCGATGATGACTGCGCGACTCACGCTCTCCACCCTCTGTCGCATTCACGTTTTCGCTCGCGCACGTGAATCAGCTGACGGATGAGCGGGATTCCTTGGCAAGGAAGGTGAAGACGCTTGAAGAAGACGCGGCGACTGCCGCGGAATCGCGCGATAAACAGCTGTTGGAGCGCGATGAGGAACTGCAGCGCCTGCGAGACCGTGTAGCGCACACGGACGAGATCCTGCGCAAGGAGCTCGACAGCGTCCATCAACGCCACCGCGACGCCGTTGCCAAGGTGCGCCGGTGCATGTGTTGATTCTGGGCGTGATGATGATGATGCTGATGATGATGCTGATGATGATGATGATGATGATGATGATGATGATGATGATGATGCTGATGATGCTGATGATGATGATGCTGATGATGATGATGATGATGATGATGATGATGATGATGGTGGTGGTGTTGATGATGATGATGATGATGATGATGATGATGATGATGATGATGATGATGATGATGGTGGTGGTGGTGGTGGTGTCAACGGTTGTTGTTCCCGCTTGCCTGTGCTGTGTGACTTGAGCGAGTGCTTTTCATGACGTATCCTTCTGTGTGCAAATGTGTACGCATGTATGAATCCATGGTGTTGCCTCTACCACCTCACGTACTGGCCGTGTCTGCTTCGCTTCCAGCTGCAAGAAGAGTCTGATGCGCGGTACGAGGCGCTGCTGAAGCGAAAGGACGCCGAGATTGAGTCCATCCGCCAGTCTCACAAGGTCTCACAGGCTGGGCTGCTGGATTTTACGCATGCACATAGACGTGTTCACACTTGCACACACTGCAGTGGCTGTCTGAACTGACACATCACCGCTTACCCTCACCCCCCTCCTCCTCCAAATCGCCCTAACTTGCGCTGCTTGTTCACAGGTGGAGATTGCAGACTTGGAGGCGTCGCATTCGCTCGTGCTGCAAACACGCGAGCAGCAGCACCAGGCAGACCTTGCGCAGGTGCGGGAGCTGAGCAAGCAGCAGGTTGCCTCTGCGTTGGAGAACAAGGAGAATGCCGAGGGCATTCGCGTGCTGCTGTCCCAGTTGAAGAACACAACCGAGGGTGTGGACACCATTCAGCAACGCCTTCGTGCTGCCATGAGCGAGCAGCTTGGAGAGCGCGAGGCACGCGTTGTCGAGCGAGAAAAGGTGCGATGTGCGTGTTGTATGTGTGGTGTGGTAGATGGGTGTCGTGTGGTGTGATGCGTTGAATGTACGTGGCTGAGGATGCGGGGTCAGTGTCAGTGTTTGTGTGCATGTGTTTTCAGGTGTAAACCTAGTATTTGGTCTGAGATCGTTGGGACGTTTGCACTCTGAGTTGTGTTGCGCAGTTTCGTCACCGAGTTGCTTCCATCTCCATGCTGTTATTTGTTGGCAGGCGCTTGATGAAGCCATGGAGAGCTTGAAGAAGCAACAACTCTCCCTGGACGAGGTGCGTTCACACCCTGCGAATCTGTTGTATGAGACACCAGCTTCTTGTGCCATGGGGTGGCAGTGGAGAGGTGTTTGTATCCTGCCGTACCTGCGTGTGTATTTGTGTTGTGTGTGTGTGTGTGTGTGCGTGTTGTGTGTGTGTGTGTGTGTGTGCTCTCGCCCGCGCAGGGGCCCGCGTGTCGTGTGTGCGCGTTCACACGTGTTCACTGTGTGTGTTTGTGCATATGTGTAGGAGCGACGCGACATGCAGCGCGTGTATGCAAAGCTGGAGGTGGAACTGCGAGAGCAGCGAACGCAGCTGGAGCAGCGGCAGTGGCGCCTGACGCAAGATGAGGCGCGTGTGCAGGCGAACCAGCAAGCCATTGACGACCAGCGCGCTGTCGCCATGCAGCAGTCGCAGGAGGAGCGTGCACAGATCCAAAGCCTGGTAGGGTGCTCGGCTTTATGTGTGTGTGTGTGTTGGGGGGGGGCGGTGTTGTGAGATGCATTGCGGCTGATTGCACTTGTTTGTATATTGCTGCTGCGGCAGTGAATGAAAAGAGGCAATGCGCTGCCTTTTCACCGACTCCCAACATGCACGCACTCACCCGACTGCCACCAACCACCACCACAACACAACACAACACAACACAACACAACACAACACAACACAACACAACACAACACAACACAACACAACACAAACATACATACACACTCACATGGCGTGTGTGTCTGTACATGGCAGCGGGAGGCGCTGTCGCGGGAGAGGCGGGAAATGCTGCGAGAACTCAACGACCAGCGGCGCGATCTGGCAGAGGAGCGCGCGTCTGTGAAACAGGCAAAGCGGGAAGCAGAGCTGAGAGACAGGCGCAAGACGGATGAGATGATGGAGACGACGGCGCAGGTGGAGAAGGCCATGGCGAGCGTGCACCAGGAGCAGCTGCAGATTGAACAGCGCTCGTCTGCACTCAAGCGGCAGGAGCGAGAGCTGGAGAAGGTGAAGCGACGGCTGAAACTCGAACGCGAGCGATTGGCAGAGGAGCGACAGCAGTTGATGGAGACGGCAACAATGGTGGAGGAAAAGTCCGCAGCTGCGCTTGCATTGCATCAGCGTGCGCAAGAGGACCTGGCAGCAGCACGAGAGGCGCACGAGGTGTGTGTGTGCTTTTGTGTGCATTTGTGTGCATGTGCGTGTGTGTTTGTGTGTGTTTGTGTGTGTTTGTGTGCGTGCGTGTGTGTTCGTGTGCGTGTGTGTTCGTGTGTGTGTGTGTTGGGTGCATGTGCTGGAAAGCTTTCTCCGTGTGCCTCACGTTTGATGCAACGCTCCGTTGATTGTTGCTTTGCAGCATGTGGAGGCGTTGAACCTGGCCATCGCAAACGAAAAGGCGGAATTGCTCGCTCTTCAGTCTGAACTCAAGGTGACGATGAGGACTCACCGTCGTCCATATTCTGGATCGTTCATCCACCACCATTGTTGTTGTGTGCTCACATTCACTCACGAACATTGACAACTACGCACACACACACGCACTACAACATACTTACACGCACAACATGCATGCATACACACATACATGCACACCCTGGCGCTGGTGAACGTTAGGCGGCCGAGACGCGGCTGTATGAAACTCGTGCACGCATGGAGCTGTCATCGTCCAACTCTGGCCCACACACGCAGCAACAACAGCAACAAAGAAAGCCGTCAACGCAACAAGCGTACACCACGGGTCACGATTCTGGGGCACACAATAGCGGCGGCGACACAGCGTTTGCGCAGACAATGCAGCAGCTCGAAGCCCTGAAGGTACACGTACATATACTCACACACTCACACACTCACATACATTCACGGACACACGTACTCGCTCACGGGTGCGCTTGCACTTGCACTTCTTGTGGGTCTTTACGCAGGCATGCACTCATCTTTGCATGCTTGGGCGTTGTTGTGTCTGCTTGTCGACCTTTCAGGCGCAATATGAGGAGATGAACGCAGCCGTCTCTGCCAATCTCCAACAGCCGAGGTGCGCGTACGTGTATGTGCGCTGTGGCGCGTGTGCTTATTTTTGTGCATGTCAATAAACGTTCGCTGAACTCCCCCATCCCTCCCCCACATATGTGTTCGCGTGCTTTTTGCAACTTGCAACAGGTCGGAACAACGCTCAGGGAGCAAGAAAGGTGTGCACTGGAACCCACAGCACCACCACCAACACCAACAGCGTGATGTGAATAACAGCGCCGATCCACACGCGTCTTCGCCAATGAAACTCACGCTGACGTCTCGACGACAACTTCGCGATCTCGTGAACACGTGGCGATCAGAGATGAGCGCGTGATTCACCTGCGTGCGTGCGTGCGTGCGTGCGTGTGTGTATGTGTATGCGTGTGTGCTTGTTGTGTATTGGAGACAGAAACGGCTGCTGCTGTAGAGTGAGACGTGCTGTTTTGCCTGCTTGTGTACAATTGAATCCACGTGTAATGTCGATATGAGCGCGTTCTCCTCCACCCCTTGGCTTGCTTTGTGGGTTGCTTTTCCTCATGCTGGTGTTTGTCAGTTATGTGTAGTAAAGGCACGATGACTATCCCGTCAGCACGACAGCACAAAGCACAGCGATATCCATCCTGCATCCAGTGTGGTGTGCAATCACGTCCGTCTTGCGTAAATGCAATAGTCCCGGAACACGGCACCGGTGTCCAGATTTTTGAATGGAAGATACAGCGTTCGCCCCAGCGTGTTTGTCGTCGCTGCGCTGTCCAAGAACGGAGCACACGCCACCCTCTGTCGTGGGGTCGTGTGTGTGTGTGTGTGTGTGTGTGTGTGTGTGTGTGTGTGTGTGTGTGTGTGTGTGTGTGTGTGTGTGTGTGTGTGTGTGTGTGTGTGTGTGTGGTTGGCGTGAGAACGGCAAAACGGAATTTCAACATTGGGGCACGAGTTCTCCTCCCTTGTGCTGGTGTCAGCCATCACCTCCACCGGCAAACTGCGCACAACAGCCCATCCCACCACTCCACCTCTGCAACGACAACCACCAACCACCAACCAACAAGCGGGTCACCCCACCACGTTCAGCATCTCACCGTCCACGATGCGTCATCGCCGTAATTCGGCTCAAGCGGCGCTGTTGCCACGCTCTCAAAGTCCACGATGAAATCGCACGTCTCAACGGGCACCTGTTCAAGGCAGCAGCATTCATGCGTGGTCATGTGTGGCGTGGTGTGGTGTGACGTGTTATTTCATGTATGGTGTGGAACGTGCGTGCGTGCGATAGGGCGGGTGAGACAGCAAAATCAAAGACGCGAGCTATCACACAGCATGTACATCACGCAGCGTGTGCACGACGAACGCACGTATCGACTTGGCTCCTCCTTGTTGAGGGCGTTCATGTGTGTTGGGATGACGCGCGTGCCGTTGGCTGCTTCGTAGTGTTTGGGCAGCAGACCCTTGAACTCCGAACGAATAAACTCAACCTCAACCCTAAGGGGTCAGTGAGGCAGTGAGTGAGCATGGGGAGTGTGAGTGTGAGAGTGTGTGTATGTTTGTGTGTGTGTGTGTGTGTGTGTGTGTGTGTGTGTGTGTGTGTGTGTGTGTGTGTGTGTTTGTGCGTGTGTGTGTGTGTGTGCGTTATTCGACAGCAAAGCATCAAGATGTCAGCCAAGCACAGTCCAAGAAGCAACATTGCACCTGTTGCATGCAAACAAGCAACAGTGGCAACCGACGACCATCCCCCATCCACCACCACCAGCGCCACCACCACCACCAGCACCAGCACCAGCACCAGCACCATCAGCGCCACAACCAGCACCACCAGCGCCACAACCAGCAGTGCTTACGTGTGCGATGGGAGGAAGAAAGAGCTTGGGAAGCGGTACCACTCCTTGCCGACACACAAGCGCGTGGACGCTGCGGATGTGTCAACGACATCTGGCAGTCGCGCGTACACGTCCAGCGGGGCGTGGTAATCTGCATCAACGACAATGGTGGTGGTGGTGGTGGCGGTGGTGGTGATTTTCGTGTGTGCATTTGGATGTGAATTTGTATGCAGAGAGTGCGTCAAACACGTGCAGATGCAACGTGCACACGCACACATGCCCACACATTCACAGTTGACAACACCGACTTTTGTAGAGGCTGGCAACGCGGGATGCACAGAGGAGAGCAAACACCACGATGACAGCAGCTTGCACAAGCGTGCCAAGGAAGTGCTAGCATGACGACAACACCAATGGGGTGGCATGTGAGTGAGCAATGTGATCCAATGGACAAACGACATTCAGCAAAGAAGGCAAATGAGATGACAAAGACATTTCACAATAACAAGTGATGTGCGTGTGTTCGTGTGTGTGTGTGAGTTGGTGTACTTGTGTGTGTGTGTGTGTGTTCGTGTGTGTGTGTGTGCGTATGTGTTAGCGTGTGTGTATGCTCGCATGTGTGTATGTGCATGTGTTTTGTTTGTGCTCACGAGTTTGGTGGGAGCGAGAGCGCGCCAGAACTGCTGGATGCGCGCGAGGGCGATGGCGGCGGAAAGAGCGACGAGGGTGTAGATGGGGAACAGGAACCTGTGGCCGTGTCAACAGCAACCGTTGCATTTTGGGGTTAAGGCAGAGATGGGGGGGGGGAGCAGGGACAAACGTATCGTGAGATGCGTAAGGGGCTACGTGGGTTACGCAATGATGAATACGTTACCACATACGCACATCTACATTCATGTACCCACGCGCTTGCACCTCTCTTCCTTGTGGGCTTGCGGCACGAAGATGGCCAGCCAGATCCACATCCCAGCTGCACGAACATATGCACACGTGTGTGTGTGTGTTGGGTGTGTGTTGGGTGTGTGTTGGGTGTTAATAGCGCACAGCGAATCGTGTGGGCATGTAACAAAGTGCAGCTGATAATACACAAGCTTCTACCCACCCACACACACACACACACACACACACACACACACACACACACACACACACACACACACACAAACACAAGCACGCACAAACACATGCGCACATGTACACGCACCGAGGTGGAACGCTGTGAGGCGGGAGGACGGGGCCGACACCTGGCGACGAAGACTTGCTGTCGCCGACATGATGAGCTGCAGCGCAATCAGGACATGAGGAGGAGGGTGTGTGTGTATGTGTGTATGTGTGTATGTGTGTATGCGTGTATGTGTGTATGTGTGTATGTGTGTATGTGTGTGTGCTGCTGCTTGCTCTTTGGCTGAATGCATTGCCACATATTGCACACACACACAACCCATGCCGACATTGACACATACACACACGGTCATACACTACAAACGTGCGCGTGCGCACCATGAAGATTGGGGCCATGAGAGCAAGCGGAAAAGCGACATTGAAGTTGAGGGCGCCGTTCAAGAAGTAAAATTCCCACGGCTCCGTGCCTGCAGGCAACAACAGGCTAGAGTCAGAATACGCGCATTGATGGACGAAGACACCATAAACCAATGACAGCCCTTCCTCCCTCATACACACACATACACGCACACATACACACATACACACATACACACAGACAAACCGTAAAGCTCGGAGCTTGTCTCTGAGGAGAAGACGTTGTAAGTGAGGATGTTGAGGGGCGCAATGACCAACCGCCCGTACAAGTACGAATCAGCAGCGACAAGCGGGGCCTGCAGGTGGACACACAAACAGACAAACAGACACACACACACACACACACACACACACACACACACACACACACACACACACACACACACACACACACACACACACACACACACACACACACGCACACAGGCGAGCACGCGCGTTAGACAATTGTACAAATCTTGGCAGCTCCGTCTGTCGCACGTTTAAGGATACAAAAGCACACACACACACAGGCAGGTAGACACACAGACGCACAGACGCACACACACACACACACACACACACACACACACACACACACACACACACACATACACACACACACACACACAAAGCGATGACGCAATCGCGAACAAACGGAAGAAACCGCCCGCGCATCACAACAATGTCAACCGCAATCGGCAGCCTGATCAGAATGTGCGCCCCGTGTGTACACGTGAGGTGGACAGCGAGGGACGAACACGAACCAACACTGAGGCACACACACGAACCAACACTGAGGCACACACACACACACACACACTACACCTCACATGTGCATTCATGGTCACGACACAATGACGACGTGAATGAGTACCCAAGAGCAGCAGCGAAGGGCCAGCCAGCGATGGCACTGATGGCCGTGCACAGAACAGCCCACTGCAATCAAACAGTACAGCGTGAGAGAAAGTGATGTGCGTGGCTGTGTTGTGCGTTCACATACAGATCCGTGTGCGTGTGGGAGAGCGTGCGATTGTGGGAAACTGCGGCCAGTGTCCAACAGCTTGTGTCAACGCAGGTGTCGCACTCAGAGGTGCGCATGCATGCGTGTGTGCACGAGCTTACAAAGTCCTGGTGGCGGTACCAGGCAGCGAGAGCAAACGTGGACAGGGCCAAGGCGAACGATGACGGCAACAGGGCGGCACTGGAGATGAAGAGGCCGCAGGATAAGCTGGAGAACAGAACGAAGAGCAATGGGACTTGGTGTCCGAATCCGCGGCGCTTCAGCGTAAAGTACAGCGTGATCTCAGAGGCGCCCGTCAACATGGCCAGGGCAACCCTCACAGCGTAGAACACCCACACCTGCGCAGCGTTGTGACGTTTGTGAAGACGCGCATCGTGAGGGGAAGGAAGCAGGCGACGAAGTTGGGAAGGAAGACCCTCAACATTGGTGCAACGGACGCACAAAAAGCGCGTGGTTGAGTCAAAAGAAGGTGCTCCAATAAGAGGTGAAACAAGGGAGGCAAGCAATAGAGCAGCCAGAACTCGGTTGCGGGGTCAAGGAGGCAACATGAGGGTGGCCAACCTGTGTGACCATACCTTGGAGAGCCCCATGGCCTGTGCAGCCTTGATCACTGGAATATGGAGATCGAGGTATGCGTAGGACCTCAGCGCGTACTCCGGTGAGTACTCCCACGTCTGAAACCCACTGCCATACACCAAATAGTGCAGCTACAACGGAAGGCAGCGGAGCAGACGCACATCGGACGAACAATGAGGCCATGGATGATGACAGGAGCGAACAGGCAGCGATGTTGAACAGAACCTCCCTTTGCCACACACACACACACACACACACACACACACACACACACACACACACTCACGCACGCAAACACACACACACACACACACTCATGCACGCAAACACACACACACACTCATGCACACACTCACACACTACTCCCGCGCTTCTTGATTCATGCAGTTGTGTGTGTGTGTGTGCGTGAGTTTGTGCTTGTGTGTGATACGTACGGGTTCCCAGTAGTTGTAAGTCTCATCGCAGTCCGATATGTTGGAGAACAGGGCGCTGCACAAGCGCGCACCCAGCACCAACACCACTGCCAACACATCCGCCACTGCCACCATCTTCATCGTCATTGTAGAAATGTAGTCAAAGATATTCGCCAATCGCCATCAGTGTTTGTGTTGTTGGTTGGTTGGAAGAAGACGGCTTGTTGTTGTTGGTTGAGCCAGTGCGGCAGTGCAGTCGTCCGTCATGGATCAGCAAAGGGAGCAGCAAGGGGAGCGCACTCGACAGCAGCAGCAACAGCAACAGCAGCAACAGCCACAACAGCCACAGAGCACACAGGGTCACCATCACCATCATCATGTGCACCCTCACCACCAGCATCACCACCAGCATCAGCGACATGTGCATCAACATCGCGTACAAGGGCGGCTGATGTTTGCCGCACTGCCCAACGACACGTTCCAGCCCGTGGTGGTGCAAGGGAACGTTATTCCAGCATCCATCACGGACAAGAGGAGTGGCCAGACCTATCCACTCATCTCAAAGGAAGAGAAAGACAAGCGCGAGGCCAAGATCCAGGAAGAGGTTCGTTTGCATGCTGGATGTGCGTGCGTGCGTGCGTGTGTGTGTGTGTTGTGCGTGCGTGCGTGTGTGTGTGTGTGTGTGTGCGTGCGTGCGTGCGTGCGTGTGTGTATGTGTGTGTGAATTGACTCTTTGTTGGTGGCCTGGTGGTGTGCCCAATGTGAAAGTGGTTTGATCTTCATAGCCAGTCACTTGTTATCTCTCGCTGTTGAACGTGCTCGTTCTCTGATCAGATCTCACGCATTCA